GATCTTCTAAGGTCCCTTCCAGCCCTAATGTCTATGAAACCTATAAAATATTAAATCTACACAGCCCCAACCCCTCCTCCCTACATAGCCTGGACTCACCCTCAGCTCCCCATGTTCCTGTGCAGCCCCACCCTCTGGGCTGGGACAGGAAGCGGAAGATGGAGAAGGGAGTGGGAGCCAAGAGGCTCCAGCTGCTGTTGCAGCCAGAAGGATGTAGGGGGGGAAGGGGAGGGAAATGGCAGCTGGGTGAAAGCCTAGGGGCTGCAAATTAACCCTCCCATGAGCCACATACAGCCTGTGGGCCACCAGTTGGACAGCCTGGTTAGCAGTGTTATTTACACTTTTCTCTTAAGCTATGTGAAAGCATGATCAAGAAATGGCTGTTTTAACTACTCTGCCAAAGAATGAAGAAAAAACCTACTGCCAAATGATACTGTCATCTAAAATGACTCCCCAGGTATTAGAAGTGATTAGCTGCATCAGTCTGAAGTCAGGGAGAAGATAAAACTACCTGGTTCAGAGATGCACAAGTTTTCATAGTTTTTCCCATTACTCTTCCCCCACTTATGAGCAGCCCTTCAAAAACTGAAATATATTAAAAACCCAAGATTCCATGACAAGTCAAAACTTCTACACTATAATTAAATACCATATTTATTTATTCATATCCGAAAACAAGATGCGTGTCTTATTCAAGCATGTGTGGGAAGACAAAAGAAAAAAACAAGATTTTTCCAAAGCCTTACCTGCCACAGCACAGGCTCATCATAACTAAATGCTTTGCATGTGGAGCAGGAGCAGAGTCCACTTGTCAGCATTGCTCCCTCTCCCCTTGCTGCTAAAGCAAAAACTACTTTCAGTTCAGCAATGGCTCAAAGAGGGTTAACCCTCTAGCTTTTGGCTGAGCAACAAGGGGAGGGAAGTGACAAGGAGTGACACTAATGAGTGGACTGTGCCCCGGTCCATGAAGGTGGAAGGGGAGCAGAGTCCTCAACAGCCATGTAAGCATCCTTAAGCCACCATAAAAATCAGTTTCCTCACTTAATATCTTTAAAGATATTACATCTACAGAAGAACCTTGCCTGCCTATGGCCTTAGACCAGCATGGCTACAACAAAAAACCCAGTTTCCTCACTTAAGACATACAGCCCAACTTTGGATGGCTATTGCTAAGGAAAAAGGCATGTAGTATGCAAATAAATACAGCATGCTTTTCATTATACAGAACTATGCATACAAGGGCAATACCAGATTCCTTATGTACTTAACTAGCCGCGTTCTCACATTTAAGTAAGATATATGTAAGTATACTGTTAGACTCTTAACATTATTTATTTTTTTAAATCCTTGAATGTGATGCTACAGAATACCCAAGAAAGTCCTTTGGTAGGTTACAGCGCAAGTAATTCTATCTAATGACCTTCTACAAAGCATTAAAAATTCACCATTTAGAAAATATACTGTGACAGGGCACTTTTGGGTGCCTGCCACTTTAAGGTTGGGAGCAGGCAGCCGACAGGTGCGGGCCAGCCCTAATGAGGCAGCCATTTTAGACCTAGGCCCACAGGGCAGAGGCAGCAACCTGCTTCTGGGAGCCAGAAAAACATCACCCAGCTGAGCTGCTGCTCAGAACATCCTTGGAGGTAAGGGCAGGAACTATGGGGATGGCAGTAGGCTCCTGGTCCTGGGTCTGACTGAAAAATGCACCCTGCTGGGGAAGGATGGCCTGGTAGGGCTACCCATGGCAGAGGAGCTCCCCAGAAATGCCAGGCCGGTTGCCTCCCCAGTGAAAGACAGGGAGGGGCACCTTAAAACCCCAGCCCCCACATCCTGGTGAGTCACCCAGACTTAGAGACAGGCACAGGGGCCAACCATGTCTTTGGACACCTGAGCCCCACAGGGGTGTAAGACCCCGGGGCACCAGTGAGGCTGC